AAACATGCCTCGTTCTTGGGGTTTGTTACCGTAATCTATGAAAGTTTATAATAAGCCGTTCTGGGTGCACATCAAAGTCAGCAAGTTTCCTGCAAAGGTCACACGAATAGAATCGATTGGTTGGTTTACTTATTCGCTTCCCTCGTTTTTACTTGATCAGTTGAAAGTTTTGCGTCCTTCTCCAACTGCTGTTTCATCAGAATTTGATTGAATAGATCCTCTTCCTGTTTTTTCCAGATGCGTTCTTGTTCTTTCATGATCAATTGAACTTGCAGGTCTCGACCGTTTTCCAGGGTTTTTTGTTTTGACAGAGCTTTTCGCAACTCATCGCAATTATCGCTACAAGCTCAAGGTCATCGGTTCTATGATTAAATGGGACAAACCGAAATTGCTGTTCGTACTTTTGTTGCGCAAACATGCGCTCTGCTCGCCTGCGTTCCTCTTCCTGCTGTTTAGCCTTTGCTCGATTTTTTGCACGTCTTTCGGAAATCTCGTCCCGCACCGCGGGGAGTTGTTTCAGCAGAGCTGTTTCCTCTTCTTCCAGAGTTTTCCTAAGCAGTTCGCTGTAAACATACGATTAAAGATAATAAAAACCGGCAAAATTACCTTTTTCTTGCCTGTTCAACAGTTTGTTGTTGTTTAATTTGTTTGAAACGACGCAGTGTCTCGTCATCAATCATTCGTCGACGAGTTTCTTCTTCCCATTTGATACGCTTCTGTTCGGCCTCCAGCCGCGCCAGATCATCTAGAGCAACCAGTCTAACTTCTTCTCTCTTCCGCGTCAATTCCCATGGATTTTGGGTCCCTTTTGTTGGTCCTCTTTCCCGCTGAATTACAAAAAAACGAAGGATAAAGCAGGACTAGCAAATCAGCGGCCATTCTGATTAGTACATTGGGCACAGAAACTACGGTTTTTTTACTTGTCTGGTGAAATACTAATGATCACACGGGTGTACCACACTTTCGGCGCGAACCTGCCACGGTTCCCACGAGGTACCACTTGGCTGTCCAATCCTAGACAGATGCAGTCGAAATTCCGTGTTCAAACCATGGACATTCACGCAGCTCGAGCTGGATTCGTAGGTGAAGTTAACTTCGCTTATTAAAGACTCAATTCTCCGAAGATTAAAACGCCTGTCTCCAAGAAAAGTTAAGCTCAATTGCCTTTTGTGTGTACAGCTAAATTCAGTTTGCCAACAAGCTAGTCTGATACCGTCGACAGACCACTAATTAAACCATAATCGCACGTCAAACCGATCCAAGTTTTCAAAAGCAGGAATTGTTTCATCAAATCAGGGCCGTGAGCAGTCATCAGCTCAATCAGAAGTGAGATCTAATCACAATATTGATCATATCCTCGCTGTTGAACGGTTAATTGTTCGGCTCCGAAAATGCCTGAATTTTGGAGACGCGTGTTGTTGTTGAATCCCAGTAAGGAAGAAACACCCGTTTAGTGCCTTCAGGCTTTTCAACAAAGATTGGCCCCACTGACAGGACTAAATCTCAGTTCAAAATGCAATTACTGTGGACCGCTACGAGCAGGAACTATTATCCCGTCCTTTCGCCTGATGTTTGACGGGTACGATCTGCTCTTGAATGTCCAGGGTTTCTCGATTCGGGCTTCCATAAATCCACTAAACTAGGTAGTGAGTAATCATCCACTAATGTGGGGAACATTGACAATATTCATGGGTAAATCCATCAACGTTCTCAACGTGAACAGTAGCCATCTACGCCAATCATCGTAAAAAACAAATTCCGTTCTCTGAATGGCCCACTATTTGGATGATGACAAATGACTCGTCGAAAGATGAAACTACGATATCTTCGCAGGTTGATATCCGTACATTTCATATTATACCTTTAGAAAACTAAGCTCGTGAATCTTTACATACTAGGATAAAAGTTTACAGTCCATGAAAATAGACACGGTTCAACCTAGCTAACACTGAGAATGGTTCATTGCCTGACCCAGTTCCGCGGCAGAAAATGGCAGAGTTAGGGATTGAATTGGAGGACATCGATTTCTTCAGTTGCTGTCCGACAACTTTAACGATTGTTAATAAATATGCTGTCCACTGCTATGTGACCATAACGGCGAAGTAACCGTTGGTACAGTAACTTAGTGATGCATAGAATTCATTCGATTGACTCATTTGCATGGTAACACTTACGGTACAGGCAAAGCCAGACCAATTTCTTGAGCGACTTTATGCGTAAATATTATATTGTTGGGCCAAGAAACTTGCTGAAAGTAGCATGAAACACAGACAGTTCAGGATCGGCCACGAGCTGCATGGGGCTCAATTCAGGGGTTAATTGTCTCGGATGCTGGAGACTACGCATGGCTGGTGAGTCCCGGACGGAGTGAAACCGGTTGATAGAAATTTCATATCGCATATGAGCTCGAAGAGGAGAGAAGTTCTTGGAAAACTGATTTCAGTACGCTACTAGGCGTACTGAAATCACATGACACGGACAATGACCAATGACAGTACACATGTCGTTTTAATATCAGTAGTCTGATGGTCTTTGAGTAATCGACGTCTCCGCCGTTTTACACGACAAATTACTGAATGCCCTTCAGCAATTCGGCATCACAGACACGCTTAGATTGAATTTCTCAGAAGTGACATCATTTCGGTGTACAGCTATACTGACGTCTTTGAAACGGTCGTATGGGGAGGAATCGTTGCTGAGCGCGAGTTTATAGACTACAATCCTGAAACAGTACAAAGATTATTCATCCAACATTGGATTAATTTTGCTAGGACTTCGTATTGCGATAGTTTTTACTGGAATTTCACCATGAAAGGAAAACCAATATATGCTGAAAAGCAAAGAAGCGTTGCACGGCTGTTTTTTTGCTTACTTGGAACTATTAAAAGTGGGCATCTCAAAAAACTTTAGTTGAATGTTTCTGATGCGCGATCCCCTGGTTAGTAAGTCTGAATACTTAACCGTTCGGTTACGAGTAAATAATCAGCAGTGTGAACAACTCACACGGTCCACATCACGTGGCCACATGTGGTGGATAAAAATTTCGCAGATGAAAACTTCCTCTGAACTACTTGCGATTTGTCAGTAGTAGAAAGGCCAGCTGTACATAAAAACCACAGTAAGGTAAAAAAAAATTGGATGTTGATTTCGTTCTATCATGCTACCTCTATCTAACAACCCTCTCCATAGATAAGGCCTCCTTGGTGATGTGTGCACTAATTTCAAACCTTCCCCCTTTCTATACCATTACCACCTCTCTAGTACGATCAATATTATCCGGTAGTATTATTCATCAACTAGTTACTCACTAACCAACGTTTTCACAATACGTCTCAAGCAAAAGTTTTACTTTAGGCATAGCCCAAATGGTGTGTCACGAGTCAGAAGGTATGGGGAAAATACGAAATACAAAATTAGATACACACTCAAGACAACACAATGCTTAGTGCTTAGCATCCCGAACCCACACACCACTTCGACATAGCAGATCGAAATGCCTGGCTAGAATGAATAGCGATACGGTTCACAACAACAGCCAGAGTTCTTTAGGCTAGAAACAACAGGTTCCTTAAAAGTGCGTCAGTTTAAGTTTAACAATAATGGGCAGTAACTGGCTAGGTTTTGGCGTAATATTAAACTACCCCGAACCATTTTTTCGACAACCTCCAAAAACATTTGTGGTTGGTTTAAGAAAGTAGTAGACCTGTCGGTAGAATATACGCAGAGCTTGGAGATATTTTCAGTCCCACAAAAGAACTTCTCCTAGAGACCACTCAGTGCCACAGCGACACTATGGAGATGATCCAAGTTCACTTAACTTTTTGGCCATCACGACCACCTTCAGAAGCCTGTTCCATTTGTTGATAAAGAAACTTATTTGTTTGACTGTGGCATCCCTGCTTTTGCTAAGTCATATTTTGTGTTTTTCCAGGAAACGACAATCCGTTTGGCTTTTGGAGACCCGGTTTCCCGTATCATAAAAACTCCAGGTATGTTAGATGCTTTGATGTTCCGCCGCGTGTCACCACAATGGGGCTATCAGAGTTTAACTGTACATCGTGCGAATCGCCTCTGAATGAGTTGCCGCCTTCTGATGTCCTTTCAAGTAGTGGGCACCGAGTCCTCCAAAAATGAACTTGCGCATAATGGGGTTGATGTAATTCATTTGCTACTCATCCAAAAATTATTGAAAGCCAAGCATGTAACTTTCGGTTTCAAAATCCATGCTGTTTGCGCTCAAATTTTGTTTTGTGGTCGAATTGTTTTACTCTCAATACTCAGTTTGCTACATGCTCAGATTCATCAGAAAATGTTTTCAGGTAATTTATTGACAATACAGGCGTGAATCTTTTGCTTACAGGTCTATCTACCATTTCATGGCACAATGTCTCAGAAGGCCTTATTGATAATGGTTACATCTGAGACCACCCAGCCGAAACATTGTGGTCACAGTAACCGTTCAGCAAACTAGGTATAATTATACCACCAGACAATGTTTTAAAATACAAGATCTAACTCAGGGTGACATGCTGTTGTTAAGGGAATAAGTTTTAAAGTTGAAAAGCACCTACAGTTTTAAGCTGGCCCACGTCTTATTGCCAGTATATAGCACTGATTTATAGTTCATCTTACAGAAATCCAAATATCCATCCCCAGTCATTTATTGCTTTCTGCAGCCTTACTGAGCACTGCATTTTGTTTCTCTTGCTCACGTGTTTATCTAACGATTGTAACAGGAAGGTTTTGAAAACCTGGTCTAACGATCATGATAGTTAACCCACATGCTGTGGTAACATAAACCACTCTAGGACCTGTTCGCACGCTGACATGGATACCGTCCAACCTTTAATTAACCAGTGAAATCACAATTGCCTGTCGTCAACCGTTGGCTGCTTTAGGTATTCTGTTTTATCAGGTGCAGCCACATAGAACTGGAGATGCTTGGACTAAGAAAAAAGCCGCGCTTGTGTAATCAGTTTTGTCCGGTTCAATAAATGCAGCACTGATCATCCCATATTTGCTGTTCTTTTTATTTTGCTCATTCGTAGCACTAAAACAGAAAGCTGTGTATCTGAAACCGGCTTTGATGTGGAAGAAAAATTGCGTTCTGATTCAGATAACTCGATATTTGATAGATCTTTGAGGAGAAGAATTTCCGTTTTGTACAGCTGATGTTCAGCTAGTGGTGTTTGAACTTCGGTTAGTTTTTTTTCGATTTTTCCGATGATGAGTTTAGTTATTGTTAGGTTTGCTTACACCGCGTACATCTGGTTCTCTTTCCTTTCTAGTAAAATTATAAGGTTTTGTAACAAAGCCACGTTCAAAACTCTGCTTTCTGTTCATTTCTTTATGTGCTGCTGTCACTTAACTTCAGTCTCATGAATTCAGATCCTGCGTTGGTGACGTTTTGGAAACATTGAGCCTTATTTCCTCCGTAACATTTAGATTTCGATGATACAACCCTTATTCTGTCTTTTTTATTTGTAGCAGACTGAACAGTAGGGTACTGGCTAAACGATTTTTACAGCTCCTCATTGGCCTAAAGACAACCTTCTGCAATCATTTAGCTATTCACTCATGTGAACAGCTTAGGCCCTGGCGCTTCTGAAATGTTATAAACACATGAGTTATTTTCTTTTGATCATCATGATATTCTTGCAGTTTGGAAAAGCAGTAGTTTGGTTGTTGTGATGTTAACTATGAGCTAAGACCCCTACAGATGAGGCGCAGTTGCATACTAAATGATTACATATTTGAATTTCGTAATGTATCCATCGACGTTGGGATATATACAACAAAATATGTGAAGGAAAAAGGAATGCCATCACTCAGAATGTATAGATTCCTGACTTAGTCGAGTATACGGCCAAGAGAGTCAGTAAATCCGGACAAGGATGGTTACTTTCCTCAAAAATGGTTGAAAGTTTGGAAGAGTTAAAGACTAAGGATTAGGCTGCTGTCTTCTGTAAGTGATGGAGTAGGTATTAGGCAACCTTAACCGCTCATCATGTGGCTGGTCACAGGTGGCATGTCCGTATGCAACAACTAAAGAGTGTACTTGTTTGAGAAGCCTGCCATCGTGCCCAAAGGGAAGATTTTACGCATTACCAAGTTCAGAGCTACCCTATATAAAAAGCTTAACTTTGCCGTAGGAGTCCCAGTTGACGGAACTGGCTGCTGGATGACTCAAAATGCTAAACGGTGCCACGTATGCCAATGCAAGTAAGAAATACCGTTGCATCTGACACGAGAGCACAGGTGTTAGTCGGTACTCATCGCCGATTAATGGCAGTTTTTTCACCAACATTTTGCTAGTTGGTCAGGGATCGACCTTTAAATTGACGTGATTGTTTTCTGGGTCTATGGTCTCCCAGAGTTCAATGACAATGCATTCATTATATTCAAAAATAAGCAATTTTCTAAAGTCCGTAATCCATACAAAACATCTAAGGGAAGAATTGGTGCCTGCAATACACCGCATGGCATCTTCAATGAGATATATTTCGACTCACTGACACAGACATGGCCCAAGCAACATGTGGTCTAGTTTAATACAGAGCTACATATTCCGTGAGTACATGCAGATTGTTCAGCTGCACCCCGTGGGATGCACCTAGAAAGTCTGGGTACAGTATTTTCACTGGTAATCCGGTGTCTGTGCCTCGTGAATAGGAGGTTGGATGAAAAATCGTCAACATAAAACTCTTCCCTGGACTCCCGAAAGAGTGGTCAACTAACTGGCCTCCAAATTTGAGGCAGATAAAAATACTTTTGAAATAGCAACTCTTTCTGCAGATTAATGCAAGGATGTTATTCAGTAACTTCTTCGAGGTGTGTGGTAGACAGTTTTCCGTAGGGATAGGGTTATTTCATGCTTGACTTTTCCAGGGCCAGTAAAATGCTTGTGGAGCATAGCTGGACTTCTAGTTGGTTAGGTAGCCATCTCCTTGTATCTCATGTGTAAAAAGTTTTTTTTCAATCCTTTTCATTTTTTCATGCATACTTAGTACTTTATGGACTTGCAAGACCCTTCGCATTGTTCCACTTTGTAACGACCTTCGTTAAACAAGCTTTTGATACGGCTGATATGTAGACGGACTGAGTTTTCGTCGAGGTAGCAAGATAGCTAATTAGGGCACTTTGAGTCTAAACTGTTGGTTTGGTATCTAACAAAAAGATCTTGGATAATAGGTAGAGAGATTATTGTAAGAATTCATCTGCCGTTGTTTGCGCACGTGGTATACGTTGTACGGTCCAAGGTAAGGACCACATGGTCATTGTTGTTGAGAGGCTTTCGATGAGAGACCGACTTAAATACAAACTATGTGGTGGGAATGGTACAACAGGAGAAGTAGGTGGTTTTGGTTTAATTGTCTGGGTAGAGATATCTGGTAAATGGTGGCTTGAAAGTGATCGTCGAAGTTATGTCCGTACAAAACGCAAATGCGCATTCTCACCAACATCGTCAGCTTTAAAAACTGCGCTGCCACAGATCTGTTCACCAAATATTTACGAAGGTCTGGTAGGTAGCTGCGCATAAGAGGCGGTATTTGATCAATCAATTCGTAAATATGGCTCTGTTGTGGACTATTCTCTGATGAGGGAGGGAGAATAGCTATGCAATGAAGGCTTGGATGCCTGAGGATTGTTCGTCGCGTGGCTGGACCATGCGGGCTAATTCCTCCAATCATTGGAATTTCCTCCTAGAGGTCTAAATTAGGAAATGAACACGCTGAGGGTATTTCAGATTTGCGGCAGCATGGACAACACCGAGGATTCTCTTGCCTTTGCAACACTGCTGCTTAACAGACAGTGAATGATTTCAGACGGAAACTTTTGCTTCTGACCAACGGAAAACCGCAAGACAGTATATACTGGTTTGTATTAGCAAATGTTCTACAGTTTGCAGCTTAGGGCGTTGCGATTAATTCGTCTCCTGGTGGTGTGTAACGCCCAGATAAGGTAAATTCATAAGCTAAAATATCAGGAGTAGGCCAAACCTCAAAGTAATTATGTTATAGCCCCGTTGCGACTGACGTCGCATCAGTTTAGTATGCTTATTAAGTGGCCTATGAACGTTCGTATGTACGGCAACTATAAACCATGAACTGAGAAGCCAGGAGTGCCGTATACAACGGAAATGTTCAATGGCTGTATCCCGTCAAAACAAGAAAACTACAGTCTTTTATGCTTTGATTTTATGAGGCATCTAGTGGCTAGTTATCATGCTACAATGACCATTTAAATATGCTTACAATTCGGTGTGACGCTTCGGATATGACGCAATGAGCCTAGTTGCCGCGGCTTGATGAACACACTAAGAGAGAAGGGTACCCGCAATCGGTGCCTGAAATTCCATGTGGATTGATATTCATGGTCCATTTTTTTTACGTCTGACCAAATTTGTGACTAGTAGTTCTCAATTTTTTTATCGTCATCATCATCATTATCATCATTATCATCATCATCATCATCATCATTGCCATGTTCAAAGACAGTAACACCAGGTTAAAAGCTGATTCCACTGAAGACGTGAATGAATTTTCCTCATCACAGTCATGTCGGTAGAAGGTTGTGCAGTTGTGTTCTTCTAATTTTGGTAGCGCGTGAATGCATAAGAAATTCTTCTTTCACCCCAAACGGGCGGTCAAAGCATTGGCGTTTTGGTGTTTCAGAGAACATCGGGGTAAGTGGGCTCTAACTGGTACAGTTTTTATTTCTTGAAAGAACAATGGGCTCATTGGTCTACACAGTAGGATTTTCTTTTCACTCATTCTTAGACAGTGATTTTAACGCAGTTAGCTTCTCCGATATAATTACCAATAGTCTGCATATAACTAGAGATTCGTTTGGTTCAAGCACAATGAAGCAAATGAATACCTATGCGAATCAACACAATACTGGCAATTACATTCAATGCCGATATATGGCTGGCAAACAGAAAATATATGTTCTATCCTATATTCCTTAAATTAGCCGGTATTAGCAATCGGATGATGCTATTATCACAACCTCGTAAATAAGCTCTTGTTGGACCTGCACGATAAATACCTCAATTGCGACTACATAGTTACGCACATTTGCTGGATCGTGTTTTAGGTATTACTGATTTGTGTCAGTTGACAAATAAAAACACTCGCGCCACATGCATGTGGAAACCACGGAAATCGCCGGGGTTATATACAAAAAAACTTTACACCTTAGGCGATGACGGAGTGCAACTAGAACAAACACTTAGAAAAGCTGTTGCAACGCACATAATCCAAAGTAAGGTCATATTTGTTATTAAAGTCCCGCATAGCCTTTCATGAGCTCCTCATGGATCATTAAAACAAAAAATCGAGAAGTTGTGGTAATAGTGATATTCTTAGCAGCTAGCAAAGAAATTTTCATGACTGTCTTCGTTAAGCAGGCACATGTTTGGAGAAACAGTTGAGAAATTAGTCATGATATCATTTTCCGATTCGTTCATCGACTTTTAGATAAGAAATTCTGATCGGCATTTAGCTGCTCACTTACCAGACCTATGAGACCCGGTTGAGACCCCTGAAATTCTCTAATGTGTTTTGATGCGCATCCTGCGTCTTTCATCATTTATAAGTGTGCTTTTCGATTGCTATAGTGAATATTCACACTGAAACATTTAAACAACAATTTGAGATTATGTGGCGCTTCTCACCCTCAATTTTGCATACTTGCAGTTGAGAAGGTGACTACAGAATAGAGGATGGGCTCAACTTCTGTCTCTCATAATCAAATGCTGAAACCAGTAGTTGGAGCAACGGCATGGGCGTATTAGTCCGTTAGCTCACTGATTGACGGATTGACATAGATGATCGAGAAGAAAGCAGCTAAAAATGACTTGAACTGGACACTAGTTGTAGCGTGGACGGCATTCAAAGAGAGGGTGTTCCACGCAGCAACTACCCAAAATGAGAAAAGTCTTGCTGGATAAAAGTGTGCGCTCTGAGTTTGAAAACCCTCTCACCATGCCCGCACCGCGTGTTAGCATGGTCAACGGTGAAAAAACTGTTGGCCAGAAATTGTTCTGTTAAGGCATACTAAAGTGTTAGGCGTCGTCCGGGGTAACGATACCCCAGGGGAAAGAGGTCAGGCACCATGCGAATACTCATGGGGAAGGTCCACTACATCACCCGTAGGAGGGTGGATTTTGAGCCGATTTCTCATGGTGCTGTGAGAATTACTTGTTTGAAGATAGGCGGATACCAAATTCTTTTTGGCATCTGTTCTCGCGATGTACGTTTAACATTTGTGATCCGCTCTCACTATTTAGGGCAAAAACATTCACTGAGCCCCTCCGGATGGCTTATGAACGCACTTCTCCTAATTCAGAGGAGGTTACCTGTCCAATTACCACTGTATTGCAGGGTCTACATCCATTTGGGGCACCCCAGGATTCCAAGGCGTCGCAAAATTGGACAAGGGCTTGGAGGGTCGTTGTCCTAGATCAGAAGCACCAGCGTTCCCAGTACGCTGTCTTGAAGAACTCCGATGGAGACAGGCACCGAAGTAGAGCAGGTCGAGCTTACTCCCAGTCGGAATGTTTCGTCTAATAGGAAGGCCCTAATCCAGTTTACAATTTCCCTTGAATCCCAGACGACCAGATTTTGGGGCAGCAGGACGTGACAGATTCGGTCAAGTGCTTTGGAGATTTCGAATGATATTGCTTCCGATATGGGCCGCTCACCCTCAGCTTGGGTGAAGGTGTTCATTAACACGAGCACGTTCACCATGCAAGAACGGTTCGGGAGGAATCCGCGCTAAACTGACGATATCATTTTGTTGTTTGAAAGGTGATTTAAGAGGGCCAGCTTCAGAATGTGTTCCACCACATTGCGGGCTATTAGGCCTGTAGCTGCCGGGCGAGACTTGGTCACCAACTTTGTAGATTGGCGTGAAAAGTGCTTCCTTCCAAGAAGGGCGAGGGTTGTCTTGGTCAGACAATTGGTGAACCATCAGGTTGAGACTCTTTGCCACTGTGAACGGCACCTCATTCAGGATGCCTGGATGGACATTATCTGGCCCCAACACGCAGAACGGGTTTCTCTTTTGCAGTACCTGAGGAATATCCTTCTCTATGAAGTGCAAGTTGTTTGGAGACCGGTCGTGGGTACGCTGTGACAAGATTGGGTATGACGATGTCGCTGGGGTAGAATACCTCCTTACTAGTGTTCTCTGTAGACTTAAACGGCACATTTTTGGTTTTCCTTGCAAGGTCTAGTAAGGTAAGCTTTTACCGTTCCATTGGCGGATTTCCGATCGACAGCGGTTCCGCATTTTAAGAAACACCAGCCCATTTTCTTTGCCACCTGTGAAAAAATAGCTGCCACTTCTTTTCCAAAAGACGCTGAAACCTTTTGGGTAGCTTGCGGTGCAGCCGACCGGGTGCTGGTCTTTTGTAACGAACGCCACGACGACCTTGTTAACTTTCTGG